TGTGTGTGTGTGTGTGGGGGGGAACCTGGCCTGCTCCCTTGCTATTCTTCTGCCATCAGCACAGTTTACATCTGTCAAGATAAATGGCCTCCTGCCCTCGCCCTGTTTCCATGGGGCCGGGGGTGTGGGGGCAGCCAGGGGCTGGCGGCTGGGATGGATGTTTGTGTTTCTGGCCGGATCTCAGTAGCTGCGTACGCCAGGCCAGCGCCCCCCCCCCCGACTGGATGAACTGGTGCCAGGGCACAAGGGAGAGGGCAGCCAGTGACCTGGGCAAGGGATTCCTGGGAGGCCAGGGGGCTGCACTGTGGGATTGAGGGGCGACTCGGGGGGGGGGGGGGAGCCCAAGGCTGGGCTGGCAGCAGGCTGCGGGTCAGGAATGAGGGGCACCAGCAGAGCTGGGGGAGGGGAGGCTGGGAGCAGCAGGGGGCTGTGGGTCAGAATTGAGAGGCACCGGCAGAGCTGGGGGGGGGCTCAGCAGAGGCCATGGGGTTGGTCTGAGGCCCTGGCCGTGGGGCGATGGGAGCGGCCTGGGGGGTGACTGAGAATGACAAGCCCTGGCCTGTCACCCCTCCCCCACACCTGGACCTCAGGGGCCCCTCTCCCAAGCCTGTCCTAGGTCCTGCCCCCTGCGGCCCCCCCTCCTGCTGGGGGCTCCCCATGCCTGGGCCTGCCCTAGGGCCCTGCCGTTGCCCCCTCCCTCTGGGGCTCCCCAGAGCCCTACCCCCCTTGGACACTGGCAAAGACCAGGTAGTAAGAGCGCTGTTGTCCCCTTCCCCGATTGGCCCCAGCCCCCCAGGTCCCAGGCGTGTGGGAAACACCAAGGGCCCCCGCCAGGCAGGGCTGGCAGCAGCGGCCTGATGACTTTCCCAGCTTTGCTCCCCTCACACGCAGGAATTTCCTTCCTCCAAGCCCCGGCTGGACTCCACCGGCTTCCCTGGAGTGAGCCAGGGGTCGGAGGGAGCTGGGGCAGGGGGGCCCTGCAAGGTGTGGGAGGGGGCACCTTGTCCCAGATTCCCCCTCGGTGGGGGGGGGGCAGATCGATGTTGCCCCCGGGCGGTGGGAAGAACCGAGCCCCCTGCCCTGCTGCCGGTGTGGCCAGGGACGGGTTGTTCCTGGAAAACACAGCCAACTTGGCCAGGATGTGCCGCATGGTGGAGCGGTTCCGGCAGGGCAAGGCTGGGACAAAGGGTCACACGGTGCGTGTGAGCTGGGGCCGGGCAGGGACCATGTGGGAGACACAGACCCACCTGTGCCAGGCACTGTCCAAGGCACCGGCAGGGAACCCGCTGCCCTAGCACCAGCCCCGGCTCCATGGCCAACTTTTGTGCCATGCCTTGGCCTGGAGAATGAGGGGTCAGTGCTTGGGAAGTGGGGAGGGAAAGAGCCCCTCCCTCCCCAGCTCAGCCCAGCCACCCCACCAGCAGCCCCTGGGGCGCCCGGCTGGGCAAGGCCCCGATCGGTGCAGACGGCCCCACACACCCGAGAGCAGCCTTTAAATTAATGTTTATTCCTTATCATACAGTTACAGACTGAACTCGAGCCCTGGGTGAGCCAGACCCCACCCCATAACCAGGCAGCCTGGGGAGGGGGGCTATGCAGAGAGCCCCCACTGGGTGAAATGAGCCCCTTCCTGCCCTGGGCCTATGCTGTGGGGGCGTGGGGGTGGGCACCACACCTGGCTCCAGCGCCCAGGGCTCTGGCACGGACCCAGTTGCAGCTGCTGCTCAGGGGGTCAGTAGTGGCTGGATCCTCTGGGGGGCTGGCAAGTCACAGCCAGGAGGGACCCTGGGGGGTATGGTGTTACCCCACGGGTGGGCACTGGGAGGTGGGGCAGCTGGAGGGGAGCAGGGCAGAAGGGCTACCAGCCCCAGTGGGAGGTGGCATGGCCAGCGGGCACAAAGGGTCAAACACCCCCCCAAGCATGTCCCACCCACAGGCCTGGCCTTGCCCCAGCAGCTGCAGCCCCACGCGAAGGGCCCAAGTGCATCTCTGGGGAGGGCTGCCATAAATGAACATCCGAAACCCCCTGCTCGGGGGCAGCGCTGGGCACCAGTGTGAGTTTAGGACCGAAGCGCTGGGGCCTGAGGGGGGCTCACAGGTAGCAAGGCTGGATGCCTGTGTCCCGGCCTCACCCACCCAGCTGTCAGGACCGGGTCTTTGGGTGCAGGCTGGGTGACGTGGCCTGGGGCCAGCAGGATACAGGAAGCTGCTCACTGGCGCGGCTCAGGGGCTGGGTCCTGGCTTGGGTCACACCTGGATGTCCGCCTCATGCTCGCTGGGCTGGGGCTGGCATGTATCAGGCGCGGGACCCAGGCACCCCCAGCGCAGCCAGCCCAGGCAGGCGTGGTGCACGGGCGGCAGGCGTGGCAGGGCCCCGCTGAAGCAGCCCACCTCACGGGCGGCGGGGATCTCCGAGAAGAAGGTCCGCTCCCGGCACTCTGGAACCTCGCCCTTGCCCAGCTCCAGGTCTTTCACCACAGCCAAGATCTCCTGGCGCTGCGTCTGGCCCCGCAGGCCTCGCACGTCCAGCAGGGCCGCCACATGCTTCTTCCTGCCAAGACAAGGAGAGGGTGCTCAGAACAGCCCCCCACGGCACCGGGCAGAGCCACGCCACTGGGGCCATTGCCGTGTCCACCCACGCCAGTGGGCACACGGCTACGGGGCAGAGCCTGCAGCCAGGGCACCGCCCAGAGAGCCGGAGATGGGAGACGCCAGGCCAGCTCCCTGCGGAAACCTGGGAACAAGCTCTTGACCCAGCCCAGAGAGGGGGCAACTCCTCAGACAGGCCACAAGGGGGCCCAGCCCCCCCATAGCCCAACCAAGGGTTCAGGGAAGGACCCAATGTGAGTGGGGCTGGGGATGGAGCTGCCTTCTGCCATGGGGCAGTGAGGGGAGCACCCCTCCCTTGGCAACCGGGCCGCACCTGGGCAGAGGCACTGACTGAGGGGAGCCACAGAGCGGGGGGGGGGGGGAGCATTCAGCACCCCTGGCAGTGTAGCCTGGTGCCCACCGGGTCCCCTCCCCATCAGCACTCCCTGGCAGTGTCAGCCCGGTGCCCATTGGGAGTCCCCCCCCCCATCAGCGCCACCTGGCGGTGTAGCCTGGTGCCCACCAGGACCCTCCCCGCACACACACACGCTGTGCGAGGGCGGCTGGCCGCACTGTAGGGCAGGAGTTTATTTAAAGCTCCTGCCGGCATTTTCAGGATGTTGGCAGAGCGCCCGTGTAATCAGCAAGGTCCCGGCCTCCCCTCCAGGCACACGTTGCTCCCGGGCAGCTCCTGCAGGCGGCGG